AGTCTTATAAAAGCACTAAAAATGTTTTACACAAAGTACCTTACATGGCACAAAATTTATAGGGAAAAGCAATCACCGAATGACCCTAGCACCCTAGCAAAATAATTATTTTATTTTCCTATATTTTAAAAATTGCACTGTAATTCCAGCTACTTGGAAGGCTGAGGCAGAAGGATCGGCGGAGCCCAGCAGGGTGAAGCTGTGGTGGCTGGGAGGGTGCCACTGCACTCCAGTCTGGGTCACAGAGGGAGACTCCAACTAGGAAAAAAAGAAAAAAAAAAATTGCAGTTAAATGTATAATTCATAAGTATTTAAAACAAAATATTATACTTTTGCTAGAACTGTCAGTTTGTGTGGCTTTGGAGTAATTAAAATATGGTTAGAATGAGACTAATTCTGTAATAATGCATATCTCTCCAAGATGTTTATTCTGCTGTGCTGAAGCAATCAGTCAACTGGGCAGAATCTAGGAAGACATAACACAAGGAAATAGGACCTGGAAGTAAAATCTTATATAAATCTAGAGTTGGAAGGGACCTTATACTACCATTTTGTTCAATCTTATATTTAAAGTAGGAAAGTGAGATCTTCATAAATTAAGTAGTCTGCTCCATTTCAAGTAGAGAATGTTAAGCAAGGTTCACAACAGTTGTTAACTCCTATTCTGGTGGTCTTCCCACTACACAATTATTCATTGAGCATCCATGAGCCTGACAGCAGGTGGCAGCACGAGAGATACAAAATAGGAAATGGCCTCTGTTCTTAATTCTCAGACCAGTTTCAAGATTTTACGGTAAATAATGACTTTGCTCACAATCACAAAGCCACAAAGCTCACTGAGGTTTAATCAAATATTTTATTTGAAATATAACCTGGCAACCTTTGAGAATACTGCAGCATACTGCCTTTGAGGCTCCTCTGATTGGGCTGTGTCTGTCTTCTTTGATGCATAGTGGGCCTTAGGGGTGAAATAATTTGTTTTGAAGAGGTAATTTAATTGACCAAGTTGACAAAAGTCAATGTGTATACATGTATGATTGTTGCCAGAGTTACTAAAAAAAAACTGGAGCAGGGTCAGAGAGGAGTAACACCCTAGAAAGTGACAAATGACTCTGCAAGATACATAAACAGCAACTAACACGTCCTTTACACAAGGGACAACACACTCTGACCTATGATAGTGCTTATGAAGTAAAACTTTTTTAACGAACCCTGAAAGAGGTTAAACAGATTATTTCTATCCTGTTAATACTAGGAATGCCATTCTGTGTCATCATTTGCCCACTCCCAAGTGAATCTACCAGGCCCACAGATCCAGATGCAGGGGTCACAGCACTCTCACATACAACTCCAGCTGACTGAACCAGGATGAGTATGTAACCCAGAGCAGCCAACGTAAGGGTTGGTTGGAAACTTCTGTGGCCTGGCAGAAGAGGAGCTGGGCCAGATTCCTCACTTTAGAATCTAAGAAAAGTCAAGAGAATCAGAGCCACGTGGTGTTGTGGCACCCAGAAACTTATGGGAGCCAGGAGGTACAGAAAAGATAGAACTAAATGGAAGCAAAAGAAGATGGTAGCTGACAAGCTGAGACATCCAGTGATCATGTGCTTCTGCAGAGCAGTCTCAGTGCTTGGTACTTTCTATTTCAAATTCAGCCTGACTTTATGATCCCCACTCTAGTTAGCCCTGTAAAATCTTTCTTGATAACTACCATACTGAACATATCTCCTATGTGTTGGGCTCTGTGCTAAAAACTTCATAGGTTTCCTGCTAAGCCTTGAAACCCAAGACATAGGTATTATCTCCATTTCATAGTTAAGAAAACTAAGGCTCAGGATGGTTAAATAATAAGTTACAATACTTATGTTGATGTCAGGACTTGAACTGAGGTTTAACTAGAGTCCTTGATCTTAACCATTAAGCTGTACTAACCCACATGATGTATTCTTGTGTTAAGGCCCTGCACGCTCCTTGCCCCCACCTCATCCTCCCACCAATTTGACCTAACTTGAGTATCTTTTGCTTGAAGTATCATTTGCGTTGAGTCTGAAACTACCCAAAACAAAGAATGGCCTCTGAATATAAACCCTGTGAGAAATGACTGCTCCTTTACCACAGATAAAGAAACAGCTGATGAGCACAGGATCAGAAGCATCCATCAAGCACACAGAAAAAACCTATCTGATGACATCGGAGGCCCTTGTTCCTAAGAGCCTTCTTTCCGGAGAGGCTTGGGTTTTTTCGCTCATGGCTTCTGAGCAGCCCTCAGGCAGTCATTGTGAATGTTTTCTTGTTGACCAAGAAGCTAAGACCTGAAAGGAAGGGCTGGTGTTCTGCTCCTCCTTAGAGAAAACCTAAACAGAAATGTGGGGTTCCCATGCCACTTGGAATGAATAAAGGAGCTTGCGTCTTTTTTCTTTTTTTTTTTTAATCAGTGAGACTGTTGTGGACTTAGACAGTAAACACCTGTTTTACCTAGTTAGCCACAGAGTCTGGTCTCGGTTGAGATAGGCATGGACCTCTAAACCCCCACCCCCAACAGGAACTCTGCTGACTTCATTACTAATGATGAGGGAAGTTATGGGGAGCACTGCTCCAGAGTCCAGTAAAGGTGTTTCCAATCAAATGTTCAGCAGAAAAGGATCAGGGTCATCTTTTAATTTCTAGACAATCAACCAACTTCTACTTATTTTCACATCTGTGGCTAAACCAGAGTCTTATCCAATAGTGACAACGAAAACCTAGTAAGCAGAGCAAATCTGGTTATAGTCAACACCTGGATCCACGCCAAGGAGACAGTGCCTATGTGTGACAGTGCAGACTCAGAAAGCTGACAGCTGAAGCATACACTTCTGGGGTTTCCCTTTTCCTACCCTGTGTGATCACGACAACCAGTCCTCAGGTACTTTTTTAGCTGCAGAGTTAAATGGGCGGTTTCTCCCAGGAACACTTGATGGGCCAAGAGTTTCTCCTCCACATACTGAAAATTTTCTCTTGAACTTTGTTTTTTCCACTGATCCATTTTATTTATCCACTTTTGAATCTTAAGCAAGCACTCTTTAGAGCTGGCCTGGAGGTCTACCTAATAGGAGACTGATGGAAGGAGAGTCGAACATACAGTAGCTGAACCCTCTCTACTTTTTACCAGGACTGAGGATTAGGATCACTTACTTCCATCTTTCTGGGATGGCTCTTGCTTCATTAGTATTTGAACTGTGTTCACTTTTTGCCAAAGTTTAGGTCTTTGTTAACTACAGTTCCTTGCAGAAGGGGCTGTGACACCTACCTGTGGCATTTTAATCGACAAGTCTATTTCACTAGTAAGTTCTTTGTCCTTGGAAAATCTTTGAGTAGAAAATAATTTTAGGTGTCATTTAGTCCCGTATCTCATCTAGTGTAGGAATCCCTTCTCCAGTATACCCTGGTAAATGTGAGAATTCACTCAGAAAAGGGAGCTCACCAACCAAAGACAGTACTTTGAGTCTTCTCCCTTTTCACCGGGTAAATCAAGGTGCAAACCACAACTGAATCTCACACTCAAGTTCCTAGCAGGTAGCCAGTGAAGCCAGACCCTGACTTTGGGATTCCCAGAGCTCCCAAATTTTCCCCAAGTGTAGGTGCAGATTCTGGCTAGAAAGCTCTTAATCCCAATATGCTGGGGTTCTGCTCATCATCTGTTATGTTCTATTCCACTGGGCTTCTTCATCCTCTATAGACTGTAAGTTATGACAGCAGACTATGTCTCACACACATTTCTTATGTCTCCCAAGGTCCCTGGTATTGTAAATGTCATGGAGCAGATGTTTTATAAATGTGATTATCCTAAAGAGCAGCATGTTCCGACAGAGCCTTCCCAGAAGCAAAGCTAGCTGGGCTAACAACTTTTCCTAGTGTGCATAACTAGGCAAAGTAAAGATGAGGCTAGGTGATTAAAAAAATGGCTCCCTTTCTTATCACTTCATCAAGAAAGTGTCCTAAGTAGTCCCAGATCTTGTTCCAACGTCTTAGGAAGAATCAGAGGAAACAAGGAGTGTAGGAATACACTTTTCTGCCCAAGATGCAGGCCTTCTGCATTGTCTTCCACCTCAGACTTCCAAGCAGAAGTAAAACAGCGAATCAAATTAATTTTAGTCAAGTTTCAGCAAGAATTTCTCTGCTTTGATTTTGCTGTCTTGTTTGGCTTTGCCTGGACAGAAGCCAAAGACAGAGACAGGATTTTGGCAGAAGAAGGAATGTATCACAAGATTAAAAAAAAAACCAAAAAAAAACTTCTAAAGGCTCACTTTATTCCCTTCAACAGTCTCATTTTGCAAATGAAATTTTGAGATCTGTACAGGGAAAGGGACTTACATTAAAGTGCAAAGCCACTGAGGAATAGGATCCAGCTTAGTGCTCCCAGGTGACCAAATGGCCCCAAGAAAAGAATACATAGTAATCAAGGTTCCTAAAAGCAAAACAAACAGGAGCAAGCTGTCCTTGTCTATATGTGGTGCTTAGCTGTCAGTGATCTAGGAAATTTCTCAATCTGTCCACTGCCAATAGGGTAAAGCCAGATGGGGTGGACACGTACTTTCTCTGATGGCTCAGGAAAGCTGCATTACAACACTGTTATCATCTCACTACTGAGGAAATGAAAGCTGAGAGTTCAGTGGCACTTTCTGAAACTCCATGATGCTTCTGGAAAGTGCTCTGATATTTTGCTGATGATTATCCAGAATATCAGACACAGGAATAAAAAAGCCAGCAAACTGGCTTGGAAAAGATAAGGAAGAATTTGATGTAAACAACTCTAAAAATATGGTGTAGGCACAAGTGTTAGGTTGTTCTATCATTGTTATGCCAGCTATTTCTCTAGCATCTCTCGCTTTTAAAGCTGGAGCTGAGAATACTGCTCTTAATTTTTAAACCAGGACCTTGATAAAGGTTTCTAGCAGTTAAATGCCAGTAAGAGCCTGAAAGTCACAGATCAAGCCAGTAAAGTTAAGACATATTCTTCTTAATAATCTTTTAAAGTCAGATTTCTTGTTCATTCAATATTAAACAAAATGTATTTGAAGAATTAATCTAGGAAACCTAGGAAGGCAGTCTTGAGTTATCATGTTTCAGGAAAAGACAGCTATAGAGAGGCATATGAACAGATCTTAGCTGGTTTTGAGAGGCAGGAACAAAGCAGTGGTTTAAGAACTTTCTCCAACAACCATCTTACCTATCAACGAATTAATGAGTTTAGTTAAACATTTCCATGCCTCATGATAGGCGTCAAGCTTTGCAGGTACTTCCCATGCACCTGTCTCTACCCAGAGATACAATCTATTATCAAGCTGTTATCCTTTGATAACAGGATAATGATAGGTCAAATCTTGCTTTCCAACCTCTCTGCAATATTCTTATAACTGGAAAGATGGGGATGCTGGACTCCTTTCCAGGTCTTTCTGGGTTTCAAAATGTGGTATTCTTTTAACAGTGTGAAGCTCCAAAACACAAGCATGTCTCTTGTCAAGTGTATAGGACCCCAAATTCACTGATATGCCAGAAAGTAATTACTGTGGGTGGTGAAGGGGCTCACAGATTCTCTGCCCTGCTGTGAGCACAGGTAACCATGAAGCCACAGAGATTTAGATTTACAAAACTCCCCCTCCACTCCCTTCCCCATACCACTGATTGGCCTCTAGGCCTTCAGTGTTAACACCTATGCCAGAGGTTTCAAGCCCAGTTAAGAGGGGGCCTGGTGGGTCAGGTGGCTGACTGGATGGGTCACTATCACCCCCACAGCCTCCATTGTGGCCCGAACGCAGGTGGTCCTTGAGTGTCTGTTTGTAGCGAAAGCTTCTGCCGCAGAAGGAGCAGGGGTAGGGCCGCTCCCCTGTGTGGATGCGCTGGTGTTTCATAAGATGGTGCTTGCGGATGAAGCTTTTGCCGCAGTGAGGACAGCTGAAGGGCCGCTCACCCGTGTGCAGCCGCCTGTGGTTCAGCAGGTGCTCCTTGCGCATAAAGCTCTTACTACAGTCAGTGCACGGGTAAGGACGCTCACCGGTATGGATCATCTGATGGCGGATCAGGGCTGAGTGGCCATTGAAGTCAATGCCACACTGAGGGCAGGAGAAAGGGCGCTCCTGCGCATGACCTCGCTGGTGGAGCAGGAGGCTGATTTTCAAGCTGAAGCTCCTGCCGCACTGGGCACAGCGGAAGGGCCTCTCACTTGCATGAGCTCGCCGATGGCTGGTGAGTCTGGCCTGGTCAGCAAAGCGCTTGGGGCAATCAGGACAGAGGAAAGGGCGCTCTGTGCTGTTATGGACACGAAGATGGTATGTAAGTCTTGAAGGGTGAGTAAAAGTCCTGGCGCAGTGTGGGCAAGTCGGGGGTGCTTCACTGGCATGGTCCTGGGAGGAGCTGCTCAGGTCAGCTTGAGGAGGAAAGTGCTTAGGGCACTGGGCACAGGGTAGGGGGTGCTCACCCGCATGGCTACACTGATGGGTCAGCAACATGTCTTGGCTGAGATTCTTGCCACAGTGGTGGCATGAGAACATCTGCTCCCCAACTGGAGGTGGGAGGGGGTAGCTACCCAACTGAGTAAAAGACACTTGTCCCTCAGAGGCTTCCGGCAGGTCAGTGGATGGACGTCCAAAAGGTGCTGTGGATGCAGGTGGCTGGCTTTTGAAAGCCACATCTGAAAAAGTATCCTTTGCTGCAGATGGTGGTGAAGAGAAGGGGACTGGAACCTCAGGGCACAATGAGGTTCTAGCAAGTCCTTCAGCCTTGATGACAAGCTCTTCATCTGAAAGAAAGGACTCAAGAGTTATTCCTATCAATATCTGTCTCACTAGCAACTCTCATGTGTTCCTACCCAGCTCTAACAGACTGCTCTAAGCTCCTGACTGGCTCAGGCAAGAAACTCAGTGGAGGACTGAAGTAAGGCATCTGTAGTCCTTGCAAATCATCAGAAAATCTAATATGGTACCTCTTCAACGCTCCCTATTTAGAAAAGGAAAAACTTTGGCAAAAATCTTCCCAACATTACTCTCATTACATTTTGCCTATGCTCCAGAACTTTCTCTGTTGCCTACTGTGACACAGCCTAAAATCACATATTTATCTACTCCGATTCCTCTCTATTCTTCTATCAGATAAATCCTTCACTAGTCAGTTGCCTCTTTACCTTCCCTGAAAATAAAGTACACATTTCTGCTCTGAATTTTTACTCATTCGGCCTCCCTTTTGCAGAATGCTTCCTCTCTCCATCTTCCCAAATTATACCAGCCATATCATACCAATCTTCTAAGGTTCAATTCTGGCTTTACATTCTTCTTTAGGCCTTATCTAAAAATCTAAACTAAAACCAATGCATGTTCTTAAAACTTCTTACTTCTTTAATTTTTTTTTTTTTTGAGTTGAAGTCTCACTCTGTCACCCAGACTGGAGTGCAGTGGCCACTCCCGGCCACCGCAGCCTCAACCTGCTGGGCTCTGGTGATCCTTCCGCCTCAGCCTTCCAAGTAGCTGGAACTACAGGCACGTGCTACCACGCCCGGCTCATTTTGATTTATTGTAGAGATGAGGTCTCACCAAGTTACTTCTTTTATATAAATCATTCATCCCACTCACCCTTGACACTTAACAGGCATGTCTAATACTGATATGTGTGTCCCAGTGTAAGTTTCTTCAAGAGCAGAATCTATCTTATTTTTCTTATTTGTACTCCCCATTCTAAAAGAACAATGGGCAAAGTAGATACTAAAACAGACTGCATTAAGTTGTATAAATGACTGGGTCCTTTCTGACCTTGAGACGCTCTTCTGAAATTCAAGTGGTAAAACATGGATGGTGCTAAATATCTTACAGGAAGATACTTCTGTTTCTTCTCCCATTGTTATTTTTCCTTTCACTGAGGAAGGCCTCTTACAATATTCCTATTTGTACCTCCCAATGACATTTTTGTCTCCATGCTTATCCCCTCATTCCACCTCCAATTTGTTCTAGGCTTTCCAATTTTTCTGTGCTTCCGTCTATCCTCATTCTCACACTTTTGGTCCATCTAGATGCACTTATCTTTCTTCTTTTGACAATTCTAATGTATCTTTGTATGTAAGAGTGTGTTTTCCCACTCACTTCAAGTTTATCTTTAGTGATATCTTATCTTTTGGTTTCATTTCTAACCTATTTGAGCATGTCTTTCTTTTTTTTCCTTATTCTTCTCCCAATTCCTTGTCTCTACAGCCCATTTCATCTGCTTTTTCTTCAGTCAGTCCTTGCATGAACTGGATTTGGACACGAACATCTCTACACTTGCTTACTCACCAGCATAGGTACTTTTGTATATGTCACTCTCCTTGGATTCCTGTGGGGCCCCAACCTGAGGCTCTTCCTCTTGTTTAATCCACGACAGAATATCTGATGTTGAAATACCAGGCTCTATTTGTGGGAGAAAAAAAGATTGAACCTTAGAATTTGAATTGGAAGGTGAAATAATCATGTTGGTTTGTTGAATACCATGTTTTGCCCAAATATTTATTTCTAAATAACTATAATATAAAACTGAGCCAGGCTTTAAAAAAAAAAATGCATATAAACTCTAGAAAACCAGTACAAAATAAAAACAAATTTTTACACTTTTAAATTATATATTTGGCTTGATTCTCCATTTTTAGTGAGCCCGTTTAAAAACAAATAACAAGCCGGGCTTGGTGGCTCAGCCTGTAATCCCACGCCTTTGGGAGGATGAGGTGAGTGAATTGCCTGAGCCCATGGGTTCGAGACCTGCCTGTGCAACTTGGCAAGACTGCGTCTCTACAATAAATAAAAAATCAGCCGGGCATGGTAGCGCGTGCCTGTAGTTCCAGCTACTTGGAAGGCTGAGGCAGAAGGATCGCCGGAGCCCAGCAGGTCGAGGCTGTGGTGGCCGGGAGCGGCCACTGCACTTCAGTCTGGGCGACAGAGACTCCAACTCAAAAAAAAAACCAAAAACAAATAACAATTTTTATGCTGGAGATGACACCCTGAAATAATCTAGAATCAACAGTACCTTTTGTTTTGTTAACACTCTGACATTCAAAATATTTTCACTTTTTCTCTCCCAATTTGTTTATGAAACAATGAAGCAGGAAATATTTTCTCCATTTAAGTAGTGAAGCCTACAGATGTTAAATAAATTGCCAGTACGCAAGTGTTTGCAGTGAAATGGCTTATTATCAAAGATCTGCTTTAAAATACACTAGGAAGCGCTGGGCTCAGTGGCTCACACCTATAATCCTAGCATGTTGGGAAGCAGAGGCAAGAGGATTGTCTAAGCCCAGGGATTCAAGATCAGCCTGGGCAACTTTGCAAGATCTCATCTCTACAATACATTTTTAAAAAATTAGCTGGGCTCGGTGGCTCAGCCTGTAATCCCACGCCTTTGGGAGGCTGAGGTGAGTGGATTGCCTGAGCCCGCAGGTTCAAGCCGCGCCTGGGCAGTGAGACCTCATCTCTACAATAAATAAAAAAATCAGCCGGGCATGGTAGCACGTGCCTGTAATTCCAGCTACTCGTAAGGCTGAGGCGGAAGGATCACCGGAGCCTAGCAGGAGAGGCTGTGGTGGCCAGGAGCAGCTACTGCACTCCAGTCTGGGCGACCGAGTGAGACTCTAACTCAAAAAAAAAAAAAAAAATAGCTCGGTGTGGTGGCATGCGCCTGTAGTTCCAGTTACTCGGAAGGCTGAGGCAGAAGGACAGCTTGAGCCCAATAGGTCAAGGCTGCAGTAGCTGTAAGCACGCCATTGCAATCCAGCCTGGGTGACAAGGTGAGACTCCAACTCAAAAAACAAAACAACAGTAACAGCACGCACACACACACACACACACACACACACACACACACACCAGAAAAGAAGCAAAACAAGATTGACCCAAAAAACTGGTTTAATGTTAATTAAAAAAAACAAGTAACTTTCCAGAATTACTAAATTAGGTCAGGAAAAAGACAGAATCTCACTCTTCAGAAACATATTTTCAAGATTCTCAATTCTGGGTTCTTTCCAAGAGATCATATAACCATTGCCTACAAATCATTATTTCCTGAAGGGGGTGGACAGAGTAGATAGTACTATAAGTCTTTCATGTCTTGGAAATTCTTTTTGAAGAAAAACACACAGCCTTCAGAGGCTTTATACACAGCATACCTCATTTGGTCAACATCACAACAGCTATGCATGCTACTCCAGTCTGGGCCTATATGACTTGTTTTGGTCTAAATGGACAAGCTGGCAAGCTGACTAGGCCCAGAGAGTAAATTAAAGTTCTCTATACTTATTTCTCAAAAAGAGCCTTGTGGGCAGTTTATGGTTTTATTTCTAGCAAATGAACAGAACTGTTTTGCCCAATGCCTTTTAAATCAGAGACCACTAAAATCTAAAGGTGTTCCCAAAGCAAAAATAAAGAGGTTGGATAAGACTAACGCCCAAAAGACTGTCAAGTTATATGGAGATAAAATACAGATTTTAGCATATGCAACAATTGCCTTTCCAACTTCCTACTTTGTTTTACAAGCAAAGCTAAAAGTCACAATCCAACTTTATCTTTGTTCGCTTCTAGATTTTAAATATACATACATATATCTAGAAAGAAAAAGGCAGAGGGGAGAGACTGGGTATAAGGAAGAAGATCTCTTAACAGACATTGAGAATGAACTGTCTACTCATCAAAAATATTACTTTTAAAACATTTAACTGTTTCTCCTTAACAATTTTCCAAATGAGTTAATGTTCTAGAAACTTCCAAACACAATTCAAGTAGTTTTGACTTTTTGTTATCATTATGAATTCATAGCTTATATACTTGATTGCTTTTGATCCATTATGGTCATTATTATTTTTAATGCTTTAATTGTCCCTTTTTAAGCCATTCGGAGTACATACAGATCAGTTCTATGTCTTTCTCACAATACCCCAGATGCCTATTTTTCTTCATATCTGGTATGACAAACCATCCAGGTTCATCTTGTGCATTCTCTGCTGTAGGCTCACAATCAGTAGTTTCTCTGAGAAATGGGATTTATGATGAGGCTGCTAATCAGTTATCACTGCTTCTAAATCTTTTCAATGAGCAAAGCTATAAAACACAGGATTCTTTAAAAAGTGTCATTTTATATTAATATTTCTGATTCATATTTAAGATTACAGGGCTTAAATGAAATCCTCTTATTTTGTACTTGTCTCTTTTTCCTTTGCCCCTGAAAATCTTGGCTCCTAATGACATTAACATGATCTTTGCTTTACCGGAATATAAAAATATCAATATTAACAAAAACATGAACTCAAAGTTTTCTTGCGGCTTTTTTTTTTTTTTTGAGTTGGAGTCTCACTCTGTTGCCCAGACTGGAGTGCAGTGGCCACTCTCGGCCACCGCAGCCTCGACCTGCTGGGCTCCGGCGATCCTTCAACCTCAGCCTTCCAAGTAGCCAGAAATATAGGCACGCGCTACCATGCCCAGCTAATTTTTTTGATTTATTGTAGAGATGAGGTCTCGCCAAGTTGCCCAGGTGGGTCTCAAACTCGTGGGCTCAGGCAACCCACTCACCTCGGCCTCCCAAAGTGCTGGGATTATAGGCTTGAGCCACCATGCCTGGCCAAGACCTGACTTCTTAAGGAGACAATAAAAATACTTGAGACATGAAACTACCATTGGTAAAAAATACATAAAACCTTTTTTGGGAAACTTTTTGTAAAACATGTATGGGACTATAACATAGACAAATGTGTTAAATATTTGTGTAATAAGTTAAAACCTCTAAGTTTTGATGACCTTTGTTCTCAAACAGGTTTAAACTAAAATAGTCTTGAGGCAAATAAATGAAAAAATTATGATAAATTAGGGTATGCCCTAGCTCTTGATTTTACTTAGGAAAAAAGATGGCCTTGCGGAACTAAAGTGAACAGAGACAAACATGGGATGATGGCAATGTACCTGGGACAATGATGGTCAAAGGTATCTCCCAGGATTATGAATTTTAGTGTTTTATTTTTTATTTATTTATTTATTTATTTTGAGTTGGAGTCTCACTCTGTTGCCTTGCCCAGACTGGAGTGCAGTGGCCGCTCTTGGCCACCGCAGCCTCGACCTGCTGGGCTCCGGCGATCCTTCCGCCTCAGCCTTCCAAGTAGCTGGAACTACAGGCGCAAGCTACCATGCCTGGCTAATTTTTGATTTATTGTAGAGATGAGGTCTCGCCAAGTTGCTCAGGTGGGTCTCGAACCTGCGGGCTCAGGCAATCCACTCACCTCAGCCTCCCAAAGCACGGGATTACAGGCTGAGTCACCGAGCCCAGCTGAATGTTAGTGTTTTAGAAGTGAACTTTTTGTCTTTTTCTTTTTTTTTTTTTGAGTTGGAGTCTCACTCTCACCCATACTGGAGTGCAGTGTCATGCTTCCGGCCATTGCAGCCTCGACCTGCTGGGCTCCGGCAATCCTTCAGCCTCAGCCTTCCAAGTAGCTGGAACTACAGGTGTGCGCTACCATGCCCGGCTAATTTTTTCATTTATTGTAGAGATGAGGACTCGTCAAGTTGCCCAGGCAGGTCTCGAACCCGCGGGCTCAGGCAATCCACTCACCTCAGCCTCCCAAAGCACGGGATTACAGGCTGAGCCACTGAGCCCGGCTTGAACTTATTTTCCTTTCGGGCTTTTCTAGAATCTTGGTTTGAGTCCATGGCTTCTGAACTAGAAGAGCTAGATAATGGACTTTGAGTAATCATTCCACCACAAGTTCTTAAGTAATGTTTTTCTACAAAAAATTCTACAAGATAGAGTTGAATATTAAAACCATCAGTGACCAAATAAGGTCTCCAAAAGCCCCAGTACGCAGATACCTGCTCTACAGTTTGGCCCTAGTACCAGATTTACAGAATTTCAGAAAATCTCAAATTTATATTTTTCTATATTCCCCATTCACTGATGTTCTCTACTAATTATATGAAGTTTTATCTAAGACACTATACATCAATGAGTATTCCCTAGTAGAATATCATAATTTTTCTTTTGTCTTTTAGGTTCAGATGATGCTGATTGAGACAGTCAGTAAAAATTAATTCCAAAATATTTAGACATAAAAAGGTAGAATGCCACATGGTACCATTACTATCCCTAAATGTTTTCTATCTGTATATTTTCATTTCTTTATAATGCTCAGTGGTTTTTCCCAAAGGCCTAAATAGAATAATATAATAATAAACTATAGGTTTTACTTTATTAAAAATATGCATAAAATTCAAATATACTTTAGAAAATTAAGGTTTCTAAAAGTATAAAAATATTCTAATATAAAATATCTAGAAATACAAGAATTTCTACAATTCGGTCACTAAACTGGCCCAACATTAGTATCCCCCAACAGAAATTCACGTGGAACAATTTTTTATATACTTTAATGACCAGACAGAGTTAAATATTACTCTCCACTGAAAGAAACTAAGGCTTTTTTAATGTGTTAGGAGAAGAAAAAATCAAAACAGGTCTGAGACTGCCTATCCTGAGAAGGGCCTGCTTGCAGTGTTGGCCTTTAGCTGGCAGACCATTCCCCACACTGATATCAAACTTCCCCTAAGTTGGGCACAGTGGCTCATGCCTGTAACCCTAACATCTTGGAAGGCCAAGGCAGAAGGACTGCTTGAGCCCAGGAGTTTGAGACCAGCCTAAGGCAACAAAGCAAGATCTCATTGCTAATTTAAAAAAAATTTTTTTTAGCCAGGTGCGGTGGCTCACGCCTATAATCCCAGTGTTCTGGGAGGTGGAGGCCCACAGGTTCAAGACCATCCTGGACAATATGGTGAGACCTTGTCTCTACAATAAATAAATTTAAAAAAAAATTATCCAGGCATGGTGGCACTTGCCTGTAGTTCCAGCTGAAGCAGAAGGATCACCTGAACCCAACAGGTCAAGGCTGCGGTTGATCTGAGTATGCCACTTACTCCAGCCTGGGCGACAGAGTGAGACTGACTCAACAAAAATGGTTTTTTTAATTAAAGAATAAAAATAAATAAAACTCCCCTTTGTTTTTATCTTTGTACAAAAACCAAGTATAGTTTTGAGGAAGAAACATAAAGTTATGCATTGCATAATGATGTTTTAGTCAACAATGGCCTACATATACAATGGAGGCCTCTTAAGATCATAACGGAGGTGAAAAATTACTATCACCCAGTGACACTACAGATGTCTTAACATCCAAGCACACTGCATTACACAGGTGTTTGTGGTGATGTTGTTATAAACAAACTGACTGTGTTGCCAGTCATATAAAAGTACAGCACATATAATCATGTACAGTGCATAATTCTCAATAAATATAATAGACAACCATGTTACTGGTTTTTGTATTTACTACGCTATACTTTTCATTCATTTTTTTTTTTAAAGAGAGAGAGTCTCATTCTGTTGCCCTGGATGGAGTGCAGTAGCCCAATCACAGCTCACTGTAACTTTGAACTCTTAGGCTCAAGCGATCCTTCTGCCTCAGCCTGAGTAGCTGGGGCTACAGATATGACAGCAAGCTCAGTTAATTTTTTCATTCTTTTTTATAAGGCTGAATCTCCCTATACAGCTAGTTCAAGCTCATCTTGAACTCCTGGCCTCAAATGTTCCTCCCACTACCTCAGCATCCCAGAATGCTGGGATTACAGGTGTAAGTCACCTTGTAGAGTGTATACTAAAAACAACAACAACAACAACACAAAAACTGTAAAATAGCCTCAGGCAAGTCCTTCAGGAGGTATTCCAAAAGTAGTCACTATTATCATAGGAGATGACAGTTCCGTATGTGTTATTGTCCCTGAAGACCTTATAGTGTGACAAGATGTGGAGGTGGAAGACAGTTATATTGATGATCATGACCCTGTGTAGGCCTAGGTTTGTGTCTTCGTTTTTAAAAGTAAAAAAAAAAAAATTAAAAAATAGGAAAAAAGTTTATAAAATAGGGATATAAAGAAAGAAATTTTTTAATAACTATAGAATGTGTACTTAAAGCTGTTATTACAAAAGTCAGAAAGTTAAAAAATTAAGGTTTATAGTAAAGAGTTACAGTACACTAAGGTTATTGCTGAAGAAAAAATTTTTCTGTAAATTTAGTATGGTATAAGTGTACAGTGTTTGTGAAGCCTACAAGTAGAGCACAGTCATGTCCTAAGCCTTCACATTTTCTCACCACTCACTCACTGACTCACCCAGAGCAACCTGCAGTCTCACAAATTCCATTCATGTTAAATGTTCAATACAGGTATACAATTTTTTTTTTTGTCTCCATCTCACTCTGTCACTCAGGCTGGAGTACAGTGACACACTCAGTTACCACAGCCTTAACCTGCTGGGCTCAGGCAATCCTTCCACTTCAGCCTTCCAAGTAGCTGGAATTACCATGCCCAGCCAATTTTTTTATGTACTGTAGAGACGAGGTCTTGCCAAGTTGCCCAGGCTGGTCTCAAATCCCTGGGCTCAGGCAATCCTCTTACCTCCACCTCCCAAAGTGTTGGGACTACTGGTGTGAGCCACTGTGCCTGACCGATTTTTTATCATTTATACCATATTTTATTGTACCTTTTCTATGTTTAGATATATAAACACTAACCACTGTGATATAAGTAACTACAGTAACATGATTTACAGGTTTGTAGCCTAGGAGCAATAAGCTATACCATATAGCCTAAATGTGTTAGTAGGCTGTACCATCTAGTTTGTGTGATTTCAACCTATGATGTTTGCACAATGACAAAACTGCCTAATGATACATTTCCCAAAATATATCCTCATCATTAAACAATGCATGATTGTATTTGTCAAACAGTGTGGTTTATGTTGAATACCTACTTTCCTTCTGGGAGTCTGGAATTTGGGTAATATATTAATGATATATCAAAGTTTCATCTAGCTGCCATCTTTCCAATTTATTTTTACCTTGGGTTTTAAAATTTTGAGAAGTCAACCTATATATAGTACTTTAATACATTTTTACTGAAAATTAACAAGTAATATAAGCATTCATTTTATTTAATACTCTGGCTTTATTCTTTACTGTTTTAGCTTTCATTTGTGATAATCAACCTGGCTATTTACCAAAACTTCAGAATAGGATTCATATAACTTGAACTATCTACTTTCTTTCTGGGAGTCTGGAATTTGGGTAATATATCAATGATATATCAAAGTTTGATCTAGCTGCCATCTTTCCAATTTATTTTTACCTTGGTTTTTAAAATTTCCAATTTATTTTTACCTTGCTAGATAGAGGAGGTCTAGTTCCTTATGAAAACCTTGGGCACTAAGTCTCTAATGAGCTTCTCTGGTAGACAATACTATGTATCCATTGTCATGACTCATGGCAAGAGGAATTTAACATGTCATGTGAGACTCTACCGGGAGAGGACTCTGAGAAGTTTGTTCTGGTTTCCCCCAGAGTTTATCCCATGCACCTTTTCCCTTTGCTGATATTTCTTTGTATCATTTTGCTGTAATAAATATTAACTATCTGAGTACAAGTATATTCTGAGTCCTGTAGTAAATCACAAACCTGGGAGTGCTCTTTGGAACCCCTAACAGAGCAAAGAACATATTTTTTCTTGAAGGAAACAAGTACTAAGGTAGTCCTGGAAGGATACAGGAGCCAGTTTAAAAGTCTCTCACCCGCCAAGTTGATAATTTGAGCAACCAAAAGAAAAAAACTAAATTAAACAAACTAATAAGAAGTAATAAATATATAATTAAACTGATAAGGAGGAAATAAAAAGGGTTCTAAAAGATAGCTACATGGGTGTTTTTTTTTAATGCTACGTATTTATCAGCACAAGTTATATGAATACTATTCTCAAGTTCTGGTAAATATCTAGGTTGATTATCACAAATGAAAGCTAAAACAATAAAGAATAAAGCCAGAGTATTAAATAAAATGAATGCTTACATTACTTGTTAATTTTCAGTAAAAATGTATTAAAGTACTATATATAGGCTGACTACTCAAAATTTTAAAAACCAAGGTAAAAATAAATTGGAAAGATGGCAGCTAGATGAAACTTTGACATATCATTACAAAACCAAATTACTTGTATCTTTTTCACCTATTCTCCAAAACAAAATGATATAGTCATTTATACTTACTGAGGTTATGTCAGGTAATTATAAAAACAAACAAAAGAAACATGCCCAATAATGAATCTTTCTATAATTAAGTCACCCATCTTTATTGATGATATTATTTTAATCTTATTACTTATATCCATGATATAAAGATGAATCAAATTCAATTCATTACATTATCTAAATGCAATCATCCACACATTCTTAATAAAACGTGTGGCATATGTATGCATTACTTAAAACTCAGAGAATGTATAATTAAGGCTTGAACATTCTATTGTATGTAAAATTTACCTCAAAGAAAAAACCCAACAAATATTAAACTCTGGGTTAATAATATTCATGCTGAACTATTTAGAGGGAAATGTACTGATACACCTACTGATTTTGAAATACATCAAAAATAGGATAGATGGATGGATGGATGGATGAAAGGATGCAGTGATGGATGTATATGTGATAAGGAAGGATGGTATCATGTTAGTGGTAGAATATAGGTGCTGGATATCAAGGCACTCACTATAAAACTATTTTAACTTTTCTGATTGAAAATTTTTATAATAAAATGTTAGAAAAAATTAAGTGTATAGGACAGAGGGTGGGCTGTAAGAGAAGTTCATGTAACAGGGATGTCTGAAAGATGAACTTTCTGTGAGCTTCTAGTTAACAAAGATAAAAAAAAGTATGAGAATTTTCTGGTAGCAAAGGTGGGACATGATAGAAACAATGCAACTGGACTGTGGCTAGCATTCTTCCTCACACAATAATAAGCAGCTGCCAACCAAAAAATTAAGAAGAGTTAATGACAACTGGCTCCCCAGGACTAGTAAAATTCATGTTGCCCATGTGGGTGTGATCAGGGTCCACTGGTTCCATTCACTGTGGAAGAGACCATGAGAACTTCTAGTCCCTTCAGCACTTCTAAAGGGCCATGCATATATTTGCTCAAGCCACCTCACACTAGATGAGCATGACTGCTTTCTTTATCATGTTAAGTGCATGTTTATTTTACTAAATAGTTAGGTCTCAGTACTTTTGCCCACTTACCTTCACTGGGGTCTGTAGGAATCTCACTTTCCTCTGGTCCTGCCTGGTTCTCTGTATTATGTTCTCCTTCTGGTTGAATCTGAGATAAGACATCAGGTTGATTTATAGCATAATCTAGGAGAGGAAAAAGGGAGAATGGGTATGACAAAGAGATAAATGAGGGTGACAATTAATTGCCATCAAGGCTGAGCTGAGGTCCACAGTTCCAGGGAATTTCTTTTAGATTCCATAACACTTCTCCCCATCCATCCACCTCCAACTACGGGTATCTACTCTGGAAAGCAGGTAAGAGGAGATGTGATGTGTGGGGAAAGCGCATAAGCTACAGGAACACTGTCCATCTGCTTCCTTCTTTAAGAGTGACAGTGCACCTCAAGGGCAAGAAGTCAAGCTTCTTTCAAAGTGAAAGGTACCCATGGAAATCCCCAGCTGGCACACTTATAACCTTAAATTTCATTCTCTACCCTGTGATTTGGCAAAAGGCGAGATTATGAGTCCTATTTAGCAAGCATGAACCTGTCGTCTTTGGCTTGGAACTAGAATTTGAAATATGTGAAGGTAGTGAGAATAAGGACACTGAAGGGAAAGGGACTATTATTCCAAGTCCCCCTAGAGTTGTTGTTGCCTCATTCAAAAGGTGCCAACTCAGCCTCACCCATGGAGATGAGAGACTCGTAGTTGCCCTTCATGATATTCTTGTAAAGTTCCTTTTGCCATTCTTCTAGTTTTTCCCACTCTGGAGTGGAAAAGTAGATGGAGACATCATCAAATGCCACAGGGACCTAAAATTATAATCACATGGATTAGTCTCTCCCAGTAAAATTAGTCATTCAATAAATATTTTTCCCCAATTAGTTCCTTTTATTATGTCTTACATTTTCAAATGACGGTCAATAAATACAGAGGGTACAAAAAAAAGTATACACTCTTTAAGAGAGGGGAAAACTGTATTAAAATTATAATGCTCAACAACATGAATACAAGTCACATTTGACTTATGTAATTACAAGAGGTGCTCAAAGCAGTTACCATCAGCGTCCAGACCCTTCTGATTATGGCAAACATCTCTTAACATTTCTTAAAATGTGTATATACTTTCTTGGCACCACTGGTATTCTAAATATCTCTGAAATTCTTTTAATGTTTTAAATGTCTTTAGTATAATCCTAAAATCCCAACACTCATATAATACAGCATGTGTCTAGTACCTTTTCTTGAGGCACATACAAGTGCTTTGGCAAACAGCAATAAAGTATCTAAATGTCACATACATTAAAATTTCAAGCTCGGCTAACTTTAAGGTTGGCCAAGAACAGTGGCTCACGCCTGTAATCCCAGAATTTTGAGAGGCCACAGTGGGAGGAATGCCTGAGCCCAAGAGTTCGAGACCACCATGTTGGGGGCAACATGGTGAGACCTCATCTCTGCAAGAAATCAAAAAATTAGGTAGGCATGATGACGCATGCTTATAGTCCCAGCTACTTTGAAGTCTCAGGCAGAAGGATTGCCTGAGTGCAGTAGGTCAAGACTGCAGTAGTCATGATTGTGCCACTGCACTCCATCCAGAACAACAGAATAATATTCTGACTCAAAAAATAAATTAAAAAAAAAAAACTCAAGCTGCATTGAGCCTCTTATTCCATCTCTTTTGAAGTGCCTTTTCTCCAAGAACATCATTCCCCCAGAGATCTAAGTTCCTCTATTTGTCCTGTTTCTTGTTCTTTTCATGAGTAGAGAGTTCCCTTTGATGCTGTTCCATCCTGCATATGAGGAGGAAAAGATAATGCCATGGTTGATGATTGAAAGCTAACAGGACTGATACTGGAGGCACGTTAGGAAACAGAATGAAACTTCAAAATTCATTATGTCTTCTCCTTATATCCTTTAGTCTTTTTTTAAAGCTTTGTATATTCTTCAAATGAAATACTGTTTACTTAAAACCTGATTTTCTGTTTCCAGTTCTTCTCTACGTGCCTTCAAGACTTCCACTTTATCCTACAATCTCCTCAATTTGTTTTCATGTTTTCAGATTTTCTCTTTTTCTGAGCAAATACAGTTCACTGCAGTTTCTCTTTAGCTTAATTATACATTTCTTTGAGATATGTTAGTGAAGCATATGCTTTTCTAACCACTCTCTATTCTTCTTCCAATGTCTTTCAACTTCTAGTTGCACTTTTCAGTTTGACTTCTTAAATTTTAGCATTCCTGTTTTAATCTCTCCATCATTTCCTTCTGCATTTCGTTTGAATTCTGCGAGTCATTCACTGACTCTGCAGTTGAGATCACCTGGATTTGAAAACTGATTTACTGTTTCAGCTCAGAATTTTCTTTTCTTTCTCTGCATTTACAATTTGTTGTTCATGTTTTAACCTAATAGCCTAAAGTTCCCTTCTGGTCGCCTCTTCTGCCATCTGTGTAACCCACAATTTCTTTTCATACTACTTCCAGCAGTCTCTTCCAGGTTGCTTCCAGACATCTACTAAATCTGCTAAACTGTTCCCAAGTTCTAGTTTTTTATCTTGTAATACCACAAGCTTTTGATAACCTTCCTTGGCATCATGTACCTTACATATTAATTCATGATCTTTTTTGCTAAGAAGGCTTTGCGGTAAAAATAGCTGGTTTGAGAATTTCATTGTCTGTAAACCATCCAGTTCACGCTGAATCTTTTTTTTCCTTTCCCTTTCTAGCTCACTCTTAGCTCTAGCTGCCTCCAGTTTGATGTTTGTTACTTCTAGTTTAAAGGTTTCATTTAGTTCTTTCTCAGTCTCCAAGGATCTGACTGTAGCTGGCAACCCAGCCAACTGCCACACCTGTACTCTTTTGATATTTTCTACCTAAGCACCAGAATTCTCTTTTTCAGCCCTTAGTTCTGCTACTTTAGTCTATGAACGTTTTAATTTCTGAAACAAATGGACTTTTCTCAACAAGTTCCTTCACTTGGTTACTGTCTCTTGTGGGATCAACACTAAGCAGTTGGTTATGTTCTTCATCTTTCTCCAATCTTGCAATCTCTAATTTATATTTTAATTTTTCTTCTGAAATACATGAAAATTATTGTCTCTGGTGTTCAAGTTCTGATTTAAGAAATGCATGTTCATAATGAAGCTTATTATATTCATCTCTATACTTTTCCCCTTCTTCATCAAGATCCCAAAAATACTCTCCTAGGAGTTTCTACTTCCTGTTGTAGTTGGGTTCTTAATAATTCTAATTTTGGGGGCATTAACACCTGCAGCTTAATTTCTTCTAAGTCTTTAGTTTTCTCTACTAATTCCCCTCATATTTCTTCAAGCAGCTGAAAGCTTTCCTGGTGAGTTTGCTTTTCTTTCTTTTTTTTTGAGTCGGGGTCTGTCTGTTGTCCAGGCTGGAGACCGGAGTGCAGTAGCACAATCATAGTTCACTTCAGCCTCAAACTCCTGGGCTCAGGCAGTCCTTCCACCTTAGCCTTCCAAGTAGCTGGGACTACAGACGTTTGCCACCACACCCAGCTAATTTTTTTATTTTTGTAGAGACAAGGTCTTACTATATTGCCTAGTCTGGTCTTGAACTCCTGAGCTCAGGCAATTCTCCCACTTCTATCTCCCAAAGTGCTAGGATTACAAGTATGAGCCGCCATGCCCAGCCTGAATTCAGGCTTCCTTTTTTTTGAGTCTAAGTCACACTGTCACCCAAGCTGGAGTGCATGCAGTGCAATGGCACAATTATGGCTCACACAGCCTTGAACTCCTGGGTTCAGGCAATCCCTCCTCCTCAGCATCGCAAGTAGCTGGGACTACAGGTGCATGCCACCACATCCAGATAATTTTTTTGTACAGATGAGGTCTCACTATGTTGCACAAGCTGGTCTCAAACTCCTGGGCTCAAGCAAACCTGCCTCAGCCTCCAAAGTCTGGGATTATAGGTGTGAGCCACTCTGCATTCTTTTTCTTTACCTCCGCCTCCCAAAGTGCTGGGATTACAGGTGTGAGCCACAGTGCCCGGTCCACTGTGCTTTCTTAATTGCTTTAGTTTTCTTTCCAAATGTATTTCCCACCTTCTTCTTGCTAAGGCAGAACCTTGGGGGCCAAATTGTAACACACTCACAAATGGTGCTTGCAATGAAATACACATAAAAAAATAGTGACTGATGTTCTGGTTACACTCGCCACCAGGGACACCCTCACAGCTCCAACCATGGACACCCACTCAATTCATCTCAGGGAGGCACTGGGGTTAAGGGATGCAATCCTATACCCCAAGAGTTGGCCTAGTCCACCATGCTTGGTGAGGTTCTGGTGGCATGCAGGCAGAGCAAGAAGACAGCAAAGAGGAGTCAGAGGGAAGAAGAGGCACAAGGCCAAAAGGGCCCTCAGGCTTCTGACCCTGAGAGAAATCTGAGGTATCCTGGGAGACCTTCAAGGGCAGAAGGCAGTATCTCCTCCGTGGACAGAACTTCGTGGATATGGTATGCAGCCAAGACAGCACCTAAACCTCCAGCCCATTCATTCAATAAATCTTTACTAAGTGCCTACCAGCTGTAAAAACCTATGTGAGGTCCTAAAAGGATACAAGTAAAACTTAAGACACAAACCAATCCTAGAAATTCACAATGGTTTCAGGAAGAAAGGGGATAAACTCTAGGGCTATGAGCTTTGAGAGGGTGGAGGACATTACTTCTAAATAGTTACTCACAGAGTTAGATAACTGCAAAGCAGTATTTCTTTTCCAATTTTAAAATTATATTTTAATAACTTTTTAAATTTGTAGAGACAAGGTCTCACTGTGTTGCCCAGGCTGGTCTTCAAATTCTGGCTTTAAGTGATCCTTCCACCTTAGCCTCCAAAGTGCTGGGACTACAGGCATGAGGCACCACTCTCAGCCCACAAAAGCAGTATTTAATTCACACAAGAAAACATTCTGAGTATAAGTACAAGGTTTTCCTTAAACACCAAGATTATTAAAATAAGGTTTCTGCACAAAAGGGGCATATGACTATGTACAAATTAATGACATGGACAAGACAATTTAGAAACAGAACTATAGCCAGGCATGGTGGCTCATGCCTGTAACCTGTAATTCCAGCACTTTGGGAGGCTGAGGTGAGAGGACTGCCTGAGCCCACGGGCTTGAGACCAGCCTGGGTAACATGGTGAGACCTCATCTCTACAATAAACCAAAAAAGTTAGCGGGGGCATGGTGGCGCACACCTGTAGTTCCAGCTACTTGGAATGCTGAAGCAGAAGAATCCCCTGAGCCCAGCAGGTCAAGGCTGCAGTGAATGTCAGCACGCCACTGCACTCCAGCCTGGGCGACAGAGTGAGACTCCGACTGAGAGAGAGAGAGAGAGAGAGAGAGAGAGAGAGAGAGAGAGAGAGAGAAACAGAGCTAAAATGGGAAAATGGGGTGGGGATGGCTCGAAAAGAGATGGGACTTTCGCTAGTCCTAATGGGAATGGAAAAAACATTTAAGCAAGAAAAACTGAAGAGTGCATTTAGAGGACAACTGTTAATTCTGCTTAGTTGGGATCAAAACTTCATGAAGGGAATGATATGCAGAAAAGAACTCTCTCACTCCAGCTAAACTAAGGATCTGCAAAGGCATAGAGAATGATATAATGGACACTGGAGACTCAGAAGGGGGGGAAGGATGGAGGGATGAAAAAAATCACCTATTGGGTACAACGTGCACAGATGGGAGTGATGGGTACACTTAAAGCCCAGACTTCTTTGCCACTATACAAAAACTATTTGTACCATCAAAGCTATTGAAAAAAAGAAAAAAGAATCCTTCCACTCCCGAG